CATATGACCACACATAATCTGAGGGGACCCCTCCATTATTGACCCCATCAAACAAAATGGGGGCGCCAGAGAGCTCATTTCTTGTCTAGGCCTAACCGCCATATGGATTTCTGTTATGTACTTCATGGAATTGGCGGTGGTTAATTTTCATTACATGCAGTGCTTTAAAGTTTAAGATAGGATTCCAACCCACACCGCTGCAACAAGGGCTAGCTGCACCTTTCCCATGTGAACTACCAGTGCGCCCCACTTTTAAGTCAATACAACATATAAACACTTTAACTATCTGCCTTTCAACGTGCTATCTCAACTACTAATGTACACTTTTAGCCCACTAACTATCCCACTATTGGCAATGGTACTACTGTACTTTCAATAAAGCAGTCGTACTATCAAAGTCACAAACTCTCTGTCTGAATACATTGCTCTTCTTAATGGGTTCAGTTGACTTTAATCTGCAATTTCCTATGACCTGTATCCCAAACACACACCATGTGAAACTGTACGTGGGCAACTGTGCACTCAGTGGGTATGGACTAGTATACCTAATTTTACTGTATGCTTGTACCCCGGTTTATCTTCATCTTTATATGTGCTTTCATTTATGTAGGCCTATTCGTGTAACACCCTGCTTTAAGACCATGTACTTGTGTTTGCATTGTGTAGTTTTTTAATTTCACTGTCTGTTTTATTTGCATTTATAAAGAACGTTTCCTTTCAAATCTGAAAAGCCTCGAGGAAAATAATGATTCACTGCCATTTGTTTTTTAAGGGTGTTATTTTACTTTGTGGTGTTTGAAGACACTTGTACAACAGATATAAAAACTAATTTTTACAGCCCTGATGAAGACCTGCAGTGGTCGAAGCATGTTCTCTCTTTTAATGATTTAGCCACAACAATGAAAGGTTTTTAATAATTCCTCCCTTGTTTTCTATATTTCTGGAGCACCTGGACTGCTTTACTGTGTCTCCTGTTGTTTCCTGTTCTCCATGAGACACAAGGTTTGATCTACGTTTGATGATACAGAGCAACCAATCATCTCTCTCTTTTCATTAAATATATATATCAGGGGCGATTGCTCTGAGACAACAAGGGAGGCTGAACTTCCCCTAAAATTTCATAGAAGAAATGGAGGTGTGTTTGGGGTCATTGTCCTGTTGAAAAATAAATGATCGTCCAACTAAACGCAAACCGGATGGGATGGCATGTTGCTGCAGGATGCTGTGGTAGCCATGCTGGTTCAGTGTGCCTTCATTTTTGAATAAATCCCCAACAGTGTCACCAGCAAAACACCCCCACACCATCACACCTCCTCCTCCATGCTTCACAGTGGGAACCAGGCATGTGGAATCCATCCGTTCACCTTTTCTGCGTCTCACAAAGACACGGCGGTTGGAACCAAAGATCTCAAATTTGGACTCATCAGACCAAAGCACAGATTTCCACTGGTCTAATGTCCATTCCTTGTGTTTCTTGGCCCAAACAAATCTCTTCTGCTTGTTGCCTCTCCTTAGCAGTGGTTTCCTAGCAGCTATTTGACCATGAAGGCCTGATTGGCGCAGTCTCCTCTTAACAGTTGTTCTAGAGATGGGTCTGCTGCTAGAACTCTGTGTGGCATTCATCTGGTCTCTGATCTGAGCTGCTGTTAACTTGCTATTTCTGAGGCTGGTGACTCGGATGAACTTATCCTCAGAAGCAGAGGTGACTCTTGGTCTTCCTTTCCTGGGTCGGTCCTCATGTGTGCCAGTTTCGTTGTAGCGCTTGATGGTTTTTGCGACTCCACTTGGGGACACATTTAAAGTTTTTGCAATTTTCCGGACTGACTGACCTTCATTTCTTAAAGTAATGATGGCCACTGGTTTTTCTTTAGTTAGCTGATTGGTTCTTGCCATAATATGAATTTTAACAGTTGTCCAATAGGGCTGTCGGCTGTGTATTAACCTGACTTCTGCACAACACAACTGATGGTCCCAACCCCATTGATAAAGCAAGAAATTCCACTAATTAACCCTGATAAGGCACACCTGTGAAGTGGAAACCATTTCAGGTGACTACCTCTTGAAGCTCATGGAGAGAATGCCAAGAGTGTGCAAAGCAGTAATCAGAGCAAATGGTGGCTATTTTGAAGAAACTAGAATATAAAACATGTTTTCAGTTATTTCACCTTTTTTTGTTAAGTACATAACTCCACATGTGTTCATTCATAGTTTTGATGCCTTCAGTGAGAATCTACAATGTAAATAGTCATGAAAATAAAGAAAACGCATTGAATGAGAAGGTGTGTCCAAACTTTTGGCCTGTACTGTATATATATATATATATATATATATATATATGTTAGAGGAAATCGGCATGATCGGCAATTCCAATATTTCATTTTAAAGTCAATATGAGCAGATACCGACGATGTGCTGATATTATCGTGCATCCCTAATTAATGATTAATCCCACAGAGCCAGGCAGCTGCCACCTCTGATATTGAGTGTGGACGTTCATGTTTATTTCTGATTGATTTATTTCTGATTTTATTTTTACAGGGGCAGCGCACATTAATAAACACTGCCGTAAAGCCGAGGGCTAATTTTCAGCTGCTGTCCGTGAGCCAGCTGTGGCCGCTATACATTTTCAAGTGATTAATATGAGGCTGCAAATACTGAGATGCCACTCACAATATGATCTAATAACAATTCTCCACCACAGCGAGATTTACTGCTGCACAGCAGGTCCACACTGACTCAAACACCAGCTGAGACCTGACGTGAGATTTGACCGTGGCCTCCGCTCACGTCCACACTGATGACTGCTGAGATTTATGTGGACGTGACCATTCGTATTGTAAATGAGGGCCGGTGTGTGTACATGTATCATCAGTGTCACTGCGCTTTTGCATCCTTAGAAAACTAATTTAAATAATATTCAGAGTGTCATAACTCTTATTGCAGTAAATGATTTGAATCTATTCTAACTGAAGAATATTTACTCTTTATCTTCATGTGTCAAACCTGCCAGCCTCGGCCTCATTTTTTATTCTGGTCCATGTTGTATAAGTAAACACTTGGCTGTGTACCATCCTTCATCCAGTGTAGACAGACCTCAGTGGGAAAACAAGCCTTAGTTCTTTCTGATTTCTGTGTATTTAGGGTTGTTTATAGTGTTTCAATATTAAAAGAACATTTATTTTGACTTTTTGTTTTCACCAATTTTAATCTAAACATTTATTAGAGCATCAAATAATCTAAAGCATATTTATATTTTAATAGTATCTGCTTCATTTTACAGAGAATGCTCAAGATCAGGGACATAATATCACTAAAATGCGGAAAAATGTAGTGACACTCTGTGTGACAATATAATCTCATAACTTTCGGCAGCATCTCAGAGGATCATTTGTTTCCTGTATCATCCATCACTGATGAAAATACGCCCACATATCACAGCTGACAGGATGTTTTTGTTTTAATTTTTAAAGCTCTAAAGCTTTTCCCTTCTGGTGCTTTCAACTGCTCGTCAAACTATACAGAAACAACTGATCACTGTGAAATACACAGTGTGTTTGGCACTCTGTTATGAACAAATCTAATGTATGAGGCTACATCCTGAATGCATTACATATGTTATTCAAATAAAAGGTCCAGTGTGTAAGATTTAGGGGGATTTAGAGGAATCTATCGGTGAGAATTAAAGATCGCAACCAGCTGAAACTTCTCCTGGTTAGAATTCCTTCAGTGTCCACAGAGGTCTCTTCCTCTCCAAAACAAACAGAACAGGTGATTTAAACCAGCAAAAAACTGATGAAGCACTTTCATGCTGCAAATCAGTGTTCCTCTGATGCTGTTTGGCATGTCAGACACAGGCTGCTATCCCAGCACCTGCTAATATGTGCTCAGCTTTTTCTCTGATAACTTAAGATCCAGACGCTGAGGAGTTTTTAAGCAGGACCTGAATTATCCACAGAGGTCTCTTCCTCTCCAAAACAAACAGACCAGCTGATTCAACCCGGTAGAAACACTGAATTAGGCTCTGTGTCGAACAAAGCGTTTTTCCCCCAGCTGAAAACACCAGGTGCTCCTCAGGGAACACCCAGCTGGGAGCGTTTGAGAGCACTTAGGAGACGCCACATTTCTTCAGCTGAGATGCTTTGGTTGCGTCCGGCTGCTATGATATGGAATCTCCGCAGAAGTTCACATGTCGGCACAAGGTAGAGTGCTTGCTTTGGATGAGGGGAAGGCTGAAGCATGCAGGGAGAGAGGATGCACCCGCCGGTCTGTGTGGGTTCATTAGAGGAAACAATATATATGCAGTGTGCATTCATACTGCATTGCATATTTTAGAAGAATCCACCAGTGAGGACTGCAGAGTGCAACCAGCTGAAACGTCTCCTGGTTAGAATTCCTTCAGTGTTGAGATGAATTATCCACAGAGGTCTCTTCCTCTCCCTCTGGCAACCAAAAATGTATTCAAGAAGTCCGTCCCAGGTGCCATCAGTATGTGTTTTGTAATGACTTTACATGCTTGTTTTCCTGACTACTTGTCTGCTTTTTACAATGGAGGACCTGCTCCCTGCGTAGACATAAACGGCTCATTGTAAGGTAACGAAAACACAACAATTCTTATTTTCAGGTGATTATACACTAAAGAAAACATACTTATTATATCATATTACATATCTGCCAATGTATCCGCCTAAATCCTGCACACTGGACTTTTAAACACAACATACTGTCGACCATTTGTATTATTTCTATGATAATCAAGTCCCGCTTTACTTCAGGGTGTCAGCGTGTCTCCTCTCCAATGTCAACTCACAAACTCTTGTACTTTTATCACATGAAGAACTTTCTGGTTGTTCTCCGAGGAAAAGTGTTTCGTCTGAAGCTCACATCACAAAGATGTCTTTTTAAATGCACCCCCCACCCGACAAGGTTGCCTCCCCAGCTGTGCTTTCATGACTCATTCTGGATGCTGAACACTGCGGTGCTGGAGGTGTGGCTGTGTGTACCTGGATCTGCAGGGGCAGGTTGGCGCTGATGGTGTACAGCAGCAGCTTGGTGGGTTTCTCCCTGCACATCAGCACCAGCTCCAAGTCCATGTCCCCTTTGATCAGCAGGCCTTTGGCGACCAGACCGACGCGGGTCACCCCGCACAGCACTGAAGTACTGTTGGGCCTGAGGGCAGAGGGATGACAGCCAGTCACATTCGCTCATAACCATACAGACAGTGTGCAACACACAAATACAGCCTGAGAGCCTCGGATTTCTAAATGGACAAATACTCCACCTCATCATTTCACAGCTATTAAAGGACAAATTTCCTCCATGTTTAATTGTATGCAGCAGAAGTCCTCATGTGAGGGTTAGTTGTTTATGTTTTGTCCAAGAGAGTGTCCCTCTGCTGCGTCCCACCAAGAAATCTTGATAAACACTAAATGGTAAACTGGTACTATAAAACCTGTAACATCAGTAAGACGTAGCCAGGTGACTCAGTGGGATGGACACGTATCCAGTGCTGTTTTACTTATTTATTTATTTATTTTATTTATTTTTTTTACAGCAGTCACATACCATGACATGCTGTACTGTTGATGTCTGAGTTGGTCTAAGACAAGGACATCGCCATTCTTTGTACTGAAGATTCTGGTGTTTTCAAGGTGGTTTAACAAGACACAAAGAGTTTGTCTCCAATCACATACTTCTGTACTCAACACTTATTTTGCGTGCACAAGTGTGCTAAGTGCGTTCACACTGCGTAGAACAGGAAAATAAGGTGTACTACTCATACTCAAAATGGTCCAAAAGTTGAGTATAAAATGATGGACTTTTCTCAGGGTCGGCATCTTGACGTAGCTAACCTCTCAATTTTTGACATGGCGGCCGGGGACAACAAGGAACCTGTCAGTTCTACATGTTTTCTGCACTAAGAACCAATACCGTTGGGTCTATAATGATTTGATACCATGAATAGAGATGTACCGATACCAATTTTTCCTTACAGATACCGATCCCTGAACCTTAGGTATCTGCCGATACGAGTACTGATCCGATACCAGCGCGTAAAATAAAAATGGATGGAATATGAATTGTTTTATGTCTCAACTCCTAAAACTCTCTGTAAAATATTAAGAAATAAATACATAATAGTAGAATGAATGCCATAAAACTTTTTTTTTTATTATTATTATTATTATCCAGTGTTGACACAGATCAAGACACAGGTTAAAGTGCAGCCACACAATTTGGTAAAAAAGACATTTCAAAGGCTACAGTAGAATGCTTTTTAAACTCCGCTCCGTTTGCGTTTCATTTGCCTGTAGCGTGTGCATGCGTAATGACATGCGGCATTACGTGGTATCGGATTGGTCATAGGCTGTACTCGCTGATACCCGATACCGCATTTTAGGCAGTCTCGGAGGCATTTTCAATACTGGTATTGGTATCGGTACAACTCTAACCATGAACAATGATCTTGCTAGCTAAAGTTGGCCTTTGCTAGATAGCTAACTTGCTCCTAGCTACACACACATTTTAATCAGCACTGACACTGTGGCATAAGTTTGGTTTATGTGTGGGTGGAGATAGTGGTCAAATGTTGGCGATAATGCTCCACTGTCTGTTTGCAATTTGGCATTTAAAAAAGAGACGTAGAAGAAGAAGAGCCGATTAAAAAAAAAAACTACACTGAAGTGTGGTATCAGAAGTATGTGATTTGAGACACACTCAAAGTCTTGTGCACTCTTTGCATTTGATTTGTTCTCCCCTAAATCTGAAATACATCCAAACAACTGATAATGACGGATGATGAACGGATGATTTTCATTTTGCCCGTCTGCAGTCGCAACACTCAGGAAAGTTTCTCACAGGCTGCTGCTGCTGCAGGGTGCGACGTAGACGACAGCGAAGTGGAAGCTGCTGTTAGTTTGAGAAACACTCAATTTAATATTTTCTATGAGCAGAGCATTTTAAACTTCAATATCACAGTGGATCATGTACACTGAATTGTGGGAAGCCAAAATAATTAATATTAAATTAATTGTGCAGCCCTAGTCTTTACATTAGCACACCTTTCATATATCAATCATAATGACCCAATGATATGATATATTTAAAAACATGTCACTGCAGAATGAGAGTCCTTTAACTTTTGAATTTTCAGCAGTAACACTTCTGGACTTCTGCTTGCGCACATTTTTGATTGCACATATTTTCACATGTTGGTGTTATTGATGCTTCTTTAATTACTGATCTGAGTACTTCTTCTGATGTCGACCCTCTCAGCTACACAGACGCTGAACAAATGGTTTGAGCTTCAGGAAATATCTGTGTAACTGTCTGAGAGACTTTTTTTAGTGAAACTTAATTAAAATGCTTTTCATATTTTCTGTCATCATTTCATTAACATTTAAATTCACTGTCATTAAAAACTGAGAAAGAAATAGGTGGTTAAAAACGGAACTTTAATTTAAAAATGATTTCAAAAATACCACCTTTAAAAACATTGTTCAGTTAAAGAAAAACTGTTTATTTATCTAGGGTAACAGGTACACGACTAGAGTTTGGGGGTTGCACCTGTTGCATTATGGGCTGAGGCACGACAGCAGAGAGTGACAACATGGCTGCAAAGGAACAACATACCGCCCCAAATGATAATATTCTGCATGTCCCAAGAGGCGCACACGGTAATTGTCATTTTGCACATTTATTTGGTTTGTATCTGATTATAATATTTGTTCAAGTGGCCTGTTTGGACAATTCAATATATTTTCTGTTGCTGTGCTAACTTTGGGACCTGTCTATTATCAGACACTTCACATGAGAGACTATTGTTGGGCATGTCTAAATGCTGGACATCTGTTGAGAGACCCTAAAAGCAAATAAGAGATTTGTACATCAAACCTTGTTTCTATGTTTTTTATTTTTGTAGTTTTCACTGTGACTGTGGAGGATCTGTATGATGCATGGATATTATTTCCTTGGACCGGTGTTGTTACATCTATTTTTCTCTGGACATAAATTCATTTAATCATGTGTAATAACATCACTGACTTGACGTCCTCCTGTACATCAACACCACATTATATTTCTATTTTTCCATCCTGGTTGTGTTTTATTTGAATCAGCTCCCCGCTGTGTCTCCACAGAGATGTCCTGCTGGTACAGAACCTCTGTGTGGATGTTTAGGCAATGAGCCAAACGCTGAGAATTTATGACTGTTTGTTGAGCTTGTTTAATCATCCAATCATCACGCGTGTCCTCCCGATGAAGATGTACAGCGGCAACACAGTTTTATGAGGGAAATGATCTGGCACTGTGCTGAGGAAACAGCTGAAGGTACAAAAATAAACCGGAATGAGCAATAAATTCACTTCATGGTACACTCTGAGACACGCCCACCGAGCAGACCTGCCTGTAGTAGGAAATATAGTACTTAAATCAAGGCAGAGACGTTCTCAGGACAGAAAGGTATGACTGATAGTTGGGTTACATTACAACAACACTAAAATAGAAGCACAAGCAGCGGGACATACTTTGTCTCAGCAGCGTCGTCCTCCGTCTTGTCCCCAGCCTCTTTATTGGTGGGGGTCTTCCCTAAGGATTTGTTGAGGCCATCCATCCAATCAGAGACTTTCTTGAGGGCTCCCTCCACGGTGGACACCAGCGTCTGCACCGCCTCCAGCTCCTCCGGCGCCGGATAGATGCTGGCGTGCTTGGCCATGACATGGCGGTCGTCGTTTGCAAACGATCGGAACAACCTCTGGGTTCAGACGAGGGGAGAGAGAGAGACATTATCATTTTTTATGATGGGGAGTTTTTCATTCCAGCTGATGCTCGTGTGCAGCGTGGATCACACAGAGCGAGCAGAGTGAAGCTCAAGGACGCTCAGAGAGGAAACATGTCCGCTGATGGACCTAAATGGACTGCTGTGAGAATTAAACCTGTGGCCTTTACAACCTGTGACCTCTGAGATGGTCCATGTGCATCAATCAGCACAAATGTCACCAGTGAGAATGTTGACAGTGAAAAGAGCCCAACGCTTCTCACATCAGAACACCTGAAGATAACAAATATCCCTCTGTAAGATCAAACATTTTAAGCTCACCACTCTGCGTCACTAGTAGGGCTGAGTATCACCACGGATTTCCTGAACTGATTAGACTGAGGATATTTCAGTTACAATACCAATTTTGCAAGTATGTGAAAGAGATTCTCAGAGAGCTAATACTGCCAACTGACAAGGACTTATTAAAAAATAAAAATTCGAGTCACAACATAAACTCAATATCTCACTGGAATCAAATCTAAAATGTCAATAAAATAGTTCATATTCCCGACATCACAACACTGAGTCAAGTGTAGAAAGAATAAAGAACACAGGCATCAGTCAGTATCAGTCCTCCTGTCCTCTCTGCAGGTCACATGACCAATGCTGAGTTTTAAAACACGTGGCGAACTGAGCTAAACCCTTTAACATAAACAGTTGTTTTTTTAGCTTGTTAGGAACAAAGTGCTCTGTGCTTGTTTAAAACACAATATTAGTGGCGTGGATGAGAGAGAGCAGATTAAAATATCACTTTCCTACATGCTTACATGTTGCTGATCAGCTGTATTGACAAAGTCTTGACTTCTTCCTCGTGGAGGTTTTATTGCACTCACAGTAACAAGTATAGCTGCCATCAGTTTAAGTTAGGGCTGCACAATTTTGGCTAAAAATAAAATCCTGATTTTTCTCTCTGAAAACTCAATTTTTGATTTCGATTTTTTTTTTAATTGTAAACTTCAGTCCCAGTGGGTTACCTTCCAAATTATTTACTCAGATTTTGCCTTCAATACCTATATTTCTAATCATGAAATATTACAACAAGTAGGGGTACATGGCCAACACAGAAACTGGCCAAAACATCACTTTTAATGCTTTTAACATTTTAACTAGTTTAGATATATATTTATGAATTACTATGAATTAAGATGAATTAGTTATTTATTAACTATTTATTTATTTATTTAACTGGATGAACTATGAACTCTATACCCCACAGGGCTACATACAAATAGAATAAATGATTTCAAATATTAAATAAATTCAAATAAATATTATAACAGCCTAAACATAAATGACTCCCTCTTGGGATAAAGTGACAAAACTTCTCTTAAAAAAAATAAAAGGTTTTCCTAACCTCCAAAATAAAGATGAATATTCAAAGTGCAAAACTTTCACATTTTGTAAAATAAAACTTTAAAAAATGTACTATATGTGCATTTGTTGACAAGCCAATGATACCAGTGAACTTCCTGAAGCTGGCCGTGTAACGTGCGATCATCATGTCTTCAGAACAGGTAAAGCAGCCTTATACATACATGATTAGGCCGATTGCTTTAGGAATTGCTCTCTGCATGTCAGGGCTGACCTCCTCCTCACAGCGTGTGCACACACACACACAGACACACAGACTCGACAGAGTGAAGTCAGACAGCAGCATCGAGGCTGCGGTGCAGATGAAGGGAATATAACTTCAAGATTACTCTAGTTGACGACAACTACGCTTGACTTGTGCTGCTATCTTTCATAGCCACGACAACGAGGAGTGGTTTGCTCTTTGTCTGCAACTGCGAAGCCATACCAGGCGACAGACTTGCTCTTTCCCCATTTCTCAACAAAATTCTCACTGCCTCTTGCCAATGATGACGCCATGTCATTTTAGCTCTCGGGAGGTTACTACGGAAGCCTGGATGCACGCAGCACAGAGACACATTAGAGAGCTGTACTGTAACTGCCCTAGTTAAAGGGAAAATCAATTTCAAGATTTTCTTTTTTTAACATCGCCCTAACTAAAAAAATCCAATTTTGATTTAAAATCGAATTATCGTGCAGCCCTAGCTCAAGTTATCTTTACTTCTCTGTCTCAATCGCAGCATCTCTACTTGTTGTGTGTGTCTCTGTGTGTGTGCGTAAAAGTGGTGCAGCAGCCCCGACACACAGACAGCAGGAGGAGCGGCTGCTGCAGCATGATAATAAATGAGACAGACTGATGAGCCAGTAACGTCAGAGCTTCGCATAACTACGGTTGTTAATAGTTTCGCGCCGCGGCCTCTTTAACTATCGCCAAGTTTAACAGGGTTAAAGCTTCACACGTTTGTGGGAAAAGGTGTATGTTAAAAGATCGACCTCAGATTTTATGAATCGTTATTGGGTCATTCAAACAAAAATCGATTTGAATTGGATGAATCAATTATTTTAACCCAGCTCTTTTCACCAGGATCAGATTTTAATGTGTGATATTGCAACACAAGCAAACAACTGTCATCAGAGTTCTTGATTCTCGGGGCATATCCACGAAACATCAGAACTCTAACACTTAGCTAACGGAGTAACTGGCAAAGCATCACTGCAAGAAACGCTGTCAGTTTGTGTTCGTCCCTTTCCTGTTTCAGCACGTCACTGCCTGTGTGCACAAAGTCAGCTCCATGATGAAGTGGTTTTCTCAGTTTGGAGTGAAAAACGTAACTGATCAGAGTCCTGACCTCAACCTCTGCTAAAACACCTTGTCACGCTGCCCCATGGAAATTTGCTTCTAATCACGTCTTTACTTTGACTTTAGATGTAATTCACTTGTGCAAATTGTTTTAGTCACTCCTGGTGTGGACACAACATAAACCATTTCGTGCACTGAAGAGTTCTTTTTTAACGCCAGTTTGAATTTAGTTATGGCGTCAATTTCTTAGAGAGAGAATGTTGCAAACCAAACCAGATTTATTCCAGCCTTTGGTTAATCAGTCGCCCCCTCACTACGATACCTCCAAGCCTGGTTATAAAATCTAGAGGAGAATCTGAAGTGTTCAACAGCTACATATAGGGGTAAACTTCAGGTGTCCACATACTTTTGGCCACACAGTCTAAGCGCCAGTCTCCGCCTCTTGACTGATGTCTTATTTTCTAATATTTCACATACATTCATCTGCTTTTGATCAGCTGTTTTAAAGGTCATCGATACTGAACGATCAGGAAACTGGTTTGAAGGTTAAGAGACAGATCATCTTCATCATCATCATCATCGTCGTCATTCATCAAAGCAGTGCTGGGTCTGGGTAATTACACAGAAGCTAATCTGAGAGTGTTTGACTGTTGCTGCAGGAAGCAGCTGAAATGTAGAGCAAAATAGATTTCTTTGAACTTGAACACAGTGTTTTTAATTCAGCTCCTGGTGTTGTTTTCCTTCGACTTCCTTCCTCAGACATTCTGGTACAAAGGCAGGAGCTTGTTTTGGGTGTCAGAGAGGCTCGTCGCAGTCTGCACGATGACAGCAACACCTGAAGCGACCTGAGCTGCTGCCAATCTCCGCGTGGCCTAGATACAGCCTCCGTTACTTAACATTAACATTTATGACATGTACTTAGAGGGATGGAGCCCATCTCTGCGCGGGGAGAGGGGAAAAAAAGCCTGATGTGCAAAATTAGCTCGGCACTCGTTTTTACAAGCCTGAGTGCGTCCGCCGGTCGTCCGAGCATCACACCGCGCTTTCAGTCCAAGGTCAAACTGCTATCTCTCTCAATCATCCCTCCCTCTTCAACTCCGATCCTCTCTTTCCCCCCTTTTCCTGTCCTCCCTCTCTCCCCGCCCGCAGCGTGTAAGCACACCCTCATTACGGTGAGTTATTTATGATGGTGCTTTAATAATTCATGGCCAAGAGTCTCGGGGGCTTGTGCTGGAGTTGCGAGGGTCATTCATCACGACCTAGCTAATCTCTCGCTGAACTGCCGGGGGCATTCCAGGCTGTGTAGCGGCAAGTGTGGGCAGCGTCAACAACCATAACACACAACCGTACACACACAAACATTAATGAGATCTAAATGAAAGATTAAGACTTTCACGGCCTCAACACGGATCCTGGATCCCGGCCCGGCGTCAGGCTCGTTCCCTTTTATTTGTTACCTACAAGACAGCCGCGTGTTCAGGCTCGCACCGCAATTACAAGCTAATGACATTCACTGCTTTAATTAATTGCATTGCAGGGTTTGTCGGTGGATGCCATTTACTTAAATCTGACACACGCATCAGAAATAATTCCTCTCGCATTTTCTCTCTTTGACATCTGACACCAGGTTTACAGTACAGATGAAGGGTACTGAGCATCTGTGAAGGCAACACATTAGCAGCACATACACAGACTTCAAACTTACATTATGCAACGAAAAACATTCATCCCCATGGTGTGCCTATGAATAACACACATTATGATATACAGGAAAACACAGGAAAAGGAAACCATTTAATCAGATTTCCATATCCTCAAAATAACTGCTATTAACACGTCCTGTTGTGATAAGAAATCACAAGTGTTACAGCTGTTTTGATGAGACCTTGACTACCACCCTGGATGATCATGTAAAAGCTCTCAACTTTATTATATATACAATATTATCTTGATGTGAATGTTGGAGCATCTCCAGAGGAAATAAACACAGGATATAGAGGAGGTAAAAGAGACACAGCTGACAGCGGATAAATAATAGGGTGTAATGATCCACTAGTCTGGATCAATATATCGATTCAATGATCAATGATCGAATATCATTGATGCAAAGTGGAAACGTCAATCCATATACTTTAAGGATATACTTTTATTGTGAACTTCTGTGTCACCGTCAAACAGCGGCAGGCAGATAATAGCGAGCAGCCAAGAAAAGATGATGGCTAGGCTTGTCACGATACCAGAATTTCAGTAGTTGATACCAATACCAGTGAATTTCCACGATTCT